TGATATTTATGTTCACTTTTGTTAACTTCATATAACATTTTTTTTGATATAGTATGTAAATATTGTTTATATACCCTTGTAGTATTTTTTCCACTACGTGGAACTAGAGAAAGCATAGACCAAGTTTTCTTCGTAAGACCCGTACCTTTACTCCCGGAAATAAGTCAGACAACTCAAAAAAGAGCGTTATCGAACCTTAAGGTTTTGAAAAAAACCGCCACCGCTTGTGATGGTTTTTAATTTTACACATGAAGGACCTTAACAGCAGGTTCTACAATAACCTTGGACCCACTTATTGTCTTTTATTTGGCGCTTCATTTATTTTTTGTATAAAAGGAATAGACGAAAAGGCTGTGTAGTCTGGATGTACTTTTTGTGCAGTTTGTACATTTCTTCCTCAACAACGTGTCTAGCAGTTTAGGGGGATTGTATGGTAATCGTTTTTCCCGGCTCCCTCGCAAACAACGTAATACATATATTAGATAGGATTGGCATCACATGCTTTTGGATGCGCTCTTCATTTCATAGAAGAAGGTTGGGTTTATTTTATGCACAAAACGACGTTAATGGAGGAAGTTAACTACCACTCCTCTCTAATCAGAAGTTGATATAATTTTTATCGGTAGGCCCAAATAAGGACTGAGGCTAGCGCCAGCAACACTTTGACATACTGTGAACAAATCACCTAGAAATTGTAAAGGCTTATCGTGGAGAAGAAAGAATACTCACCGATTACTGCAACACTTTCGTTAAGGTTCCTTGCTGCAAAATGGGGAAGCAGGCGCATTTTCAAATTCTTGCTGAGGATGTAAGGCTCCCGTAGGGATAAAATGAAGTACGGTGAAACAACTCGTTTATTGGTACTTTCAGCATTTAAGCATTTTTTGCATAATTGGAAAAGCTCAGCGTCTCATCTCACTAAGATTGGGGGAAGGTTTGTAAGAGTTGTGTCTCCATAACCAACTTGTGCGAATTATGTCTCCATGATAAGTAAGGATCCTCTTCAGGTTTAATAGATGTGACAATATCATGTGAAGTCATTTGCGGTCCGTAACCTGCAAGTTTTGTGTAGGAAATGCGCTCGCAAGCAGGAATCGCGACGACACGCGATATGACTTTTTTCGAAGCATATCTGTGCTTTATTCGTGGTGCGATTTCCAGTTATAGGATGGGTGATTATTTGATATTGTACTTGATGCTGTGTACTTTCGAGTACTGTTTACTTGACGATAGACTGTAGTCACAGCTTTCAATAAAAAAATTGATTTTAGACTTTTATTCTTAGGGATTCGGGATATGGCTGGGGATGCCATTAACCGTCGTAAAAGAAGGTTCTTAAGAGGGTAAAGCAGTTAATGAGAAATAGGAGCACACTGGTGACTACGGAGTGGCTTTGTGCACCATTTGTTAGACCAGAGATGAAGGAAAAGTCTCCTCTTAAGCTTCCATTGTGACGTACATATTGTTTTCATCCATTTATTTTACTTTTGCGGATCTTTCGATCAAATTTTTGTGCTTCCATTTTCCTCTCTCTCGCTTCTGTCTTCTTCTTTCATTTAACCTCTCTGTTTACAAATCTAGTGTAGGGTTGTGGTCGTTCTTGGGCACTTGCGGCAATCATTACGAGAATACTCTACTAGCGGTGAACAGTTTATCTGAATGTGCCGATGAAGCTGAACAGCTGATACCATGCTCTATTGCTAATAAACCGCTCGCCTAAAGGGAACTGCTCGAAACAATCGTGGTGGACATGCAGAGTAGGACTTGTGTAGGGAACTATTTACCGCCATTAGACCCTGCTCTTGCGGACAACTGCTCCATTTCCAAGTTTTAAACATGTTTGAAAACGTCAATCCTTTTTAGACAGCGGGTATTGATGGTTTTACTAGTGTGATCCAATGTTTCTCTCCTCAATTACAAGCTCCACCACCTACAGTACTC